TTCTCCTCTCGATTCATCGTTCTACTCCACGTTTCGCGCGGTCTGCCGAGAGGCCTGCCCCTGCCCATCAGGGGATTTCATTCTGAGGCATTCTTTTCAATACTTCCGTTTTCTTTGCGCGCGAAATGTGGCTTATACACTTCCACTACGTTTCCGAATCCAGATATTAAAGGGATCGGAATATTATTCTAAGGCATCTGTTTACGACAACTTACAGGCGCCTTGCCGTAGTGGCCGTACAGCAGCAGAGGATGGCCTTATGGCAAGAGAAGAAGTGATAGTAAATATGCAACTTAATCGAACCCCGCTGTGAACTCCGAATATCTTACACAACTTGGCTGTGGAAGTACACGTCACCTAGCTGCGTCGTATGGAGATTTAATTACAGCGACGATTTTTTCGAGCAGTACTATGTGGCGCAGGGCGACCCAATGGCACAAAAGGTTAGGTTAGGTTAGTGGGCAGTCGGTGCAAATAACCAACTCACTTAGACCTTGAATGTCCATTGTGGTACCACTACAGAACACGGGAACCTCAGCGAATATTCTTCAGAGAACCATTTTGAAGCTCTTATAGAGCGTCGGATTGACGCATGACAATTCCGTAAGAGATCTAAAGAAGGCCTTACCTGGAAAGCCTGTTCTCCTCTTGGCCAAAGCGGGGCAACTGCAGAAAGAAGTGCTCTACGGTTTCTTGGGAGATTATTCCTAGTCTTGAAGGGTGCCTGCCAAATAGCCAATGACCGGTTACACGAACCGTTACCATCGCAATATCCTCTCTTGAGAGGCTGAGCAACTCTTTCGTCTTTTCTTGTCTATTTGCGGCCAAAGCAGCCTGGATGTTCTACAAGTGCCCTCTTCTAGCCATGACCTGTTGGCCTCTTGGGTCATACTATTTCTAAGTTATAATTTGCAGGTTGCCATGGGTATCCTAATAGTGCCGCTGTTTTCACATAGGGGGAGATTGGTACCTTTCCTGGCTTCAATATCAGTGTTCCGGAACCCATATGAGGCTGACCGTGCATACGGTGTTAATGTCGTTTGGAGCTGCGAGTCGTTCCTGTGCAACGTTCGAGAAAATATTAATCCTTTATAGCTAAAACTTCTGCCTGATAAACAAAGCAGTGGTCCGAAATTCGCACGGATAATTCTAGTCCTAGTTCCTTAGGTAAAACTCCGTGGCCAACGCTATTGTCTAGCTTCGGTACATCTGTGTAAAACTTCAATAACCCCCTTCTCCATGGTCCCGTTATGTCGCTTGCATTAATTGAAGGCGCCTTCTATATCTGCAAATGCAACCAGAGCATACTCCTTATCTGATAAGCTTTGGTGGACTCGACGGGCGACTGCAAGGCGTTTTCCATAGAATTACCTTTCCTATCCGGCTGTCTTATCGGCTCGTTTCCTGGGCGTGTGCGTGAACATCCGCCTGAAAAAGATACTATTCATGACTTTGGTGACTTGATTACCCAACCCGTCTAATTCCACCTGCGTGGCGGGATCTCGGAGTCTCGGGGAGGTATATTTAGCAATAAAGCCCTTAGTTTGTTGTTGTAAACCCCCAGTCGGTATTTCTAACATTTCTGAATTTCCTAACTTGGGAGGTCTTAAGATCTATATCAAATTCAATATACCAATGGTCAGAATAAGACTCAATACTCGCCATCTCTTGATTTTATGGGCAAACAAGTCTGAAGGCAGGATTATATCCAAAACTTCTTCTCCACTCTTTGTCATAAAGGTTGGCTCTGAACCTAAATTCAAGGCACTAAGTTTATTTCCTAGAATAACTCTATCGAAAGCCTTTTCGAAAACACCAAATATCTAATAGCTATCAGCTCTGAGTTCGACGAACTTCCGAAGTTCATTCAGCTGCAATTGTCAGGATAGAGTTGTACCAAATTAACGCGTGTTTCGCCATACAACTCGAACTCATTATCAGACGACAACCTAATGAAAACATTAATTCATGTAAGGAATATTACTGAAGTGGCATTAGCTGTCCAAATATGAATCTGAGTTTTCCGGTTACGTAGATCCAACTATCTGGGCGTTAAGATTTATAAAATGCCTTCCGATGTTTTGATTATGTGAGCGAAGAAGAAGAGCAAGCTGTCAAAGCAAACCCCTTAGAATTTTCAGAAGTTTAATGGTCTATATTATTCGGCCCTATTATGCTTTTCGACGTGGACGTCGATGTAATTTTTTGCTCAAAAAATAGCCCTCCTCAGTCCAACTCCAGTTTCGTTGGCCGCAGTAGTTTCGCGAGGAACACCTTTCCGCAAAAATACTGTGGTCAGTGTAGCTGGCGCTAGACTTGCGAGGACTATTTTTTTACCAAAAAACATCGACGTCGACAACCGTAATAGTGCCGATTGTATAAGTTTAGTTTGACCTTCTCCAATCAGCTTTTGGAAAAGGTTACCATTGTTTTCATAGCAAAGAGGTTGTTTTTTGTGCTGAGTAGTAAAAAAAGAGGTGAAAAGCTGGAAAGGACGGAAAGCTAATAATTCATCTTGAAACCTAAGGCACCGCCAAAGCTGAACATCCTTCGGTGTATACGACCCAGAAGAGTCGGTTCTACGCACCGCAATGCCTTAGTTTTTATCCGTCCCAGGAGTATTGTTTCTGTTTAGTTCGGTGCAGCCATATTGTTGGTCACTTTGTGAATAGCGTGATTTAATGATTATAAGTCGAACATCTCAGAATTTTTTGAGAGATCGTTACACTCCATTTTGTTCCAGCAGGGTTGTAATAAATACATGCATATTTTTATAGGTAAATGAACCATATGTAAATTTGCACATCCATATTTGTAATTGTTTACATATGTATATGCACATTTGTTAGTCTGAAAAAAACGCATCGTCGTCATGCCGGCTAGTAAACACGATTAAGTAGTATGCCTTTCCTCATAAGTACACTATGGAGTATGCGTGTGCGCTAACATCATCTATGATGTTCGTGAGTATCAATGTAAATATATAACTAAGTATGTAAAAATCTCCAACCCAGTAAACACAAGGAGAAACATTCTCTAACGCTTGATAAACCCTTAATTCTCAAGTTGGGTTTCAGCGTTCCTTACCATTTGAGATTAATAATTTTGTCAAACTTTATTTCTCAATGGGAACTCAAATTGAGGAATGTTTAAAAAAATATTAACAACTTTCTGGCAGCATATTTTTTCATAATTCAAGAAAAAAGTGAAAAAGTAAAAAATTTCTTTGAGGTAAAGTGGAGAATCACTAATTTCTCAACTTAATAGCTAAGAAAATCTGCATATAAAAAAGTTCCTTTTGAGTTTAAAATTCAACAAGTTTTTATCGAAATTTCAACTTTAACATTTTGGGGTATACAGTTTTATAGCCCATATATTTTAGTCTAATCAAGTGCAAGTTTCAAACGGCTAAAAAATCCTGTGTATAAATTTATATTATACAAATTTATTTTATACAAATTATAATTATAATATAATTTAATATAATTATTTATAGCCTTTGCTTATAGTTATGTGGTACATATTTTTCTCTCATTTTGATAGATTTTTGTTGAATTATTTTGTTTAAAAACAAATAAAACTTTTCGTTCCCGCTTTATTTTTCGTAGTAATTTTTATATTAAAAACTAGCTCTTACCCGGTGCGCTTCGCTACACCTAAATCGATTAAAACACTTAAGGGTTTTTACTTTGTGTTTTATTTCTTGTTGTAAAACTATTAGTTATTTATATAACATTTTGGTATACAACATTTTTGGTTTTTCCACCTGGCGCGTAAATGAATAAGCACCTTTGTGTTCCCACTCTCGAACATGCGACATACAATTGGCCGTGGGAGAAGCACGGTTCTTCCAAATTGACGCCGCACACTCGAAACGTTTGCCCTTGCGATTTGTTGATGGTCATCGCAAAGGCAAGACGTACTGGGAACTGCAAGCGCTTAAATTCAAACGGCATGTCGGTTGGAATCATTGGAATGCGTGGTAAGAGTACAACTTCACCTGCTGCCTTGCCATTTAGTATGGTTGCTTCAATCAAATTTGGAAACAATTTTTTGACTGGAAGTCTTGTGCCATTACACAAAGTCGATGGCTTCAGATTTCGTAGAAGTATAATAGGTGAACCGACTTTCAGGACCAAACGATGCGGTGGCAGACCGGGGGGATCCAAAGAATTCAAGAATTCAGTTGGATAATTGACTACTTCATCTTGATTCAAAACGCTATCAATCGATGTATATGTTGTAGCTTCTCCTGGCAGTTTTTCTTGGATGGCAAAATTGATTTCGTTGACGTGTACATTTTTCGGTGTCAATATTGCGCGTTCACTTAAGTAATCATTGCGTTGATAGTGTTGAACAATATTCGGAAATACACTTTCAATCAATTCTTCTTTCGATTGTAAAAGTGTACAAAAGTTGTTCTGCAATGTGATCAAACCATTATCATCGATTGGTATTTTGCCTTCGCCAATGTCCAACAACTGCTTCGAAAACGCCGCTGCGGATCGATCATTTTGCAATTGGACTCGCATGTTGATGGTAAGAGTCAGCCTTTGAACATGTCTCCACAAAACTGACAATTTTAAACATGCGTTTATTTCGCTGCAGGAGTTGATCGAGGAATGACTGGCAAAGTTTGCCTGAAATCGCCGGATAATAATACTAATGCCCCGCCAAAAAGTTGTTGATTTTGGCGTAAATCTTGCATTGTTCTATTGAATGCTTCTAATGACTTTTTGTTAGCCATTGGGCACTCATCCCATAGCACTATTGCAGCTCCTCGCAAAACTTTTGCCATTTCTGAATTCCTGATATATTGCACGTTGTTGTTTCAACGACTTGGATGTTCAACGGTAATTTCAAAGCAGAATGTGCTGTTCGGCCGCCATCAAGTAGAGTAGCAGCGATGCCTGACGAAGTAATTGCCAACGCAATTTTCTGCTGTGACCGTATATTAGCAAGAATCAAAGAGGCAGTTTCACTTTGCCACCGGAGCAGCACATGCCAGCTGTTTCTCCTCGAAACTTCGCTGCATTGCAATGCGTACAAATAATATCCATTGCTCCAATGGAACCATGCAGGCTGTAGTCGCAGTCAGGTTCGTAGTGAAAGCCAACATGTTCCATTTGATCGCGAAGACGAAGCGGAACTCTGCCTTGGCGATAATTTGGCCGTTGATTGTCTGCGGATTCAGCTCTAAACTGTGCACGCCGCTCTCTGTACACCGCTCTGCCTCGGGCATTCATTTGAGCGCGTTGCTCTTCGCTTTGATTTCTTCTCCTTATTGACATTCGATGTGAATCACGCGTATGCCTGCCAACCGTATTACGTCTGCGTAGTGGAGCCATTTTCTAAAGTATTCTTTTCGAATAAATGTAGCAAATCGATTGAATTAAATCTGGAAAAAACACACAATGTTGTTGTCAATGTTTTTTATTAATTGGAAACATTCGCCAGCTGTTTCTCTTTATTTATTAGTAAAAGGCGGGACTGCCAATCTTGCGGCAAAACAATAATAAAAATCCAAAAAAAACACGTAAAGCCAAACAGAATTAATTGCAAAACGTGCAATGATACACACATTAAATTTCTTATGTGCACCCTCCACACAGATCCCAATCACTTCTGAAAATTTCATTTTATGTGCACCCTCCACACAGACCCCAATCACCCCTGAAAATTTCATTGAAATCGGGCAAGCCGTCTAGGAATGATAGAAATCCGAAAAAACACGTAAAGAATAACCACAAGAATTAATTTTTTTTTTTTGGTTTTGCAAAACGTGCAAAGATACACACATAAAATTTCTTATGTGCACCCTCCACACAGACCCCAATCACCCCTGAAAATTTCTTTGATATCGGGCAAGCCGTCTAGGAGGAGTATGCGAACAGGAAGTTTTGCCACTTAATTTTATATATATAGATTACTTTCCAAAAGTGTATTCTAGTTTATTGCATTAATTTTCGAGCGCTTTAAATATTTTTAATGATTATTTAAATAAAAAGAAAAAATAGACATGTATATACATATGTAACTACGCACTATGTTTGTTCGAAAAAAAAATTCATCAACGCAATTGTTAAATGAACAAGTAATTTTTAAGCAAAAAATAAAACCGACTTCAATTCTCATATAAAAATTTAGGAGTACCGTTAATTTTTTCATGATCCAATGATCGGATCTAAACCAGATTAGTATGGGACCACCTCTGAGACACTAATATTCCGAGGAATAACCGATAACCTCCTCCTTTTTTTTGATGTCGGTTAAAAAACACAAAAGACAGGGAGCAAGAAAATTAAAAAAAAAATCGACGGTAATTTTTAGCTGCACATTGTTGGTTATATTCAAATATTATAGGCTATGAAATTCCATGCTTTAAATTGTTATAAAAATTCAGACTACAAAGTTCGAAGTTTAGACGAAAATTTTTGAATACCTCCAGTTGAAGTTTTTTCAAATGATGAAGTTTCGTTGTTGCCTTTAGTTTAATTACTTTCGCTTTTGGTTGAAGGTATAATTACTTAAATTAAAAGTTCCTTAAAAACAATTTTAATTTTTATTTAAATAGTGGCAACCCTGGTGTCGATACTAGACACACTGGCGGGGCAACTAACTAAGGTCTCACCGCATTTTTTTTTTCAAGCGGAGAGTAGGAAGGATGAAAAAGAACTTAAAGTTATAAAATAAATAACATAGATGAAAATTTATAGACGTTTTTTTGCCAACTAAATATGGCACAAAATTCCCAAATCTCTCGGTCATTTATCATATAAATCTTGTTATAAGAAAGGCAAACATGAAGAATAATATCCCAGGAATTTCCGTCTTAAAAGAATTTCCGGCACATTCAAAGCGTATTTTCTCAAATGCATACAGACGTAAATATGTGCATACATATACATATATGTAAGCATGCATAAGTACTTATTTATGTATGAAAGTGGGATACTCTGGGAAAACCCATTACGTGTGAAAGGATAAATTAGTTGCGGTAAATCTGAGAGACGAGTAAGTTACCCAGGATACATTATAAACCTCTTTGCAGGTACATATGTATGTATGTACCATATCTGGATTTATTTGATCGTTACCTTCAATATTATTATGCCAGAGAACTCAGCAGAGTAGCGTTGGCGTGGCTCAGTAGTATTAGTGACCCGCTGCCTGCTAAAATCTTTATATTTTAACCAAATAGTGCGCCTTTAAGTATGCAAGCAAAGATCATTATTTACTTATTAATTTGATTAACTACTTTAAACTATGTTCACATTACTACAGCATAAATTACTTTGTTTCAATCAAATTACTTCACATTAATGAAATACGTTCATATTTTCTTTCATAATTTCTATGGATATGTGATCAGCACGTGCACGTAAGAGTGTGTGGTTTGTATTGATTAAAAAAAAATAAATGGCATATCTTTAGGCATTTTCTTAAAGTTTCCTCAACAGCGGGCGCTGAAATAAATGAAAAAACTTTTTTTCCTCATTTTGTTTTTGATTTATGATAAATTTATGATTTTACAAGGCAAAATTACATGATTTCAGCATGTGAACATGCTTTTATCCTCAAACGGCTTGTGGAACATTCTGCAATAAGTACGAGGTGTTTGCACTCTTTTGAAGTGTAAATCTGTTTACAAAATGGGTGACCTTTCAATTACTTCTTTTCTATACCCTCGCTCCTTACTCTTCTTAAGCCAATAAAATTAATTACATGCGTTAATCTGAGGCATACCTACCACAACCAACTAAATATTGACCGAATTCCAATTATGTACACTAAATTTTTTCTTTGCTAGCGGGCTTTCCTGCAGGGTTGTGGACATGCAGCTACACATGGATTTGCATGTGTTCACTTAAGCACATACATACATACATATGCAATTCCCATTCATAAATGCCACAACTCCTTGTAAGCCACTATTCACTTTCTCCAGATGTAAGTACTTATTTTACTCAGTCGCGTCTTTCCAAAAAAAAAAAAAAATACATACGAATTTACGCACACACACAGATAAATACGTATAGTATATACATTTAAATACTATATAGTGCTTACGTGCATATATATGTAAATGCGCTCTTTTCTCTGGCATTCTTATCTAGAAGAATGAAAGGCGAAATATGCCGAATCCGGACAGCTATTAACTACAAACATACATACATACAAACACGACCGCGAGCGTTGTCAAGTCGAACACCCTAAGTTCCAGCTTGCGGTCAAGCAACGCTTTAGTACGTGTTTTGAACGCGTCGCGTACGAAACTAATAAAAAGGAAAAGCAATATTTGCAAAGAAAGGATATTGGAAATTTTATTTTCAAATCCGACAGCTTCGAGTTTTCCGGTCTACGTTAGTGTGCGTGTGTGCGGGTGAAAGTTTTCGAATTGAAAATAAAGAAAAATAAAACGGTTATGAATTTAGTGATTCCAGTCAGGTTTAAATACTTTAAGAATAAATAAAGTTTAAAATCGAGATGTTTAAAATTTACGTTTATATGAATATATAGCGAATATACATACATACATATGTACATAAATATTTCAAATATATGTGTGTGTGATAAATAAAACATAAGTACTTGCAAACGCTGTTATCAGTTTCAAAAAAGTTGTGCTTATATTTCGTTCGTGTGTGTTTAAATAAAAATTGAATGAATCGCATGAATGTGTGAACCACCAATGAATTGCGCGCAGACTAAATGTAATCCGCAAAAAAAAATTATATTTTAACCTAAAAAAGTGAAATAAAATAAGCCAACATCGAAAGTGCTTTGGAAGGATTTGAGAAATAAGAAAAATTTTCAATTAATCCAAAAAAAATGCTAAGCAAAAAATTTGCCAGAATGCCGGGCAACAAGTGCTCGATTTTATTGTGTACGTAGAAATTCCGATTTTAACTAATATTTATATTTTTTACACTAATTATTCAAATAATTAGCGCGTACACATTCGGGTGGTCCTTAAAATATCAAGATCATAGGGCACCACTTCGTTTCGTTACAATAAAGATATCCATGATAAAAATAAAGATATCCATGAAAATTAAAAAAAAAAACATGATGGGGTCGCTACCAAGATTTGAATTCACTCTCCCATTCGTCATTCGCCATCCAATTGCCATTCGAATTACGTAATTCGCCATGCAAAATTTTGAGAGCGAATAACCTCATTTGTAGGTAATTCAGATCGAATTACTATGCGAATAACGAACGAATCGGCGCCTTCTCTAATATTTATCGGAAATATATCGAAGTTTTCACCGGCCTGCTCGCATTTGCTGGCATTTTATTAGTTGCTGGCAAATTAATTAATAAAATGTTCTCTAAGTAAATTAAAATCCTTGATGAATTAAATATTTGCTCCATCTTCGATATTTTCAGTACAGAAAAATAATAATAAATGGCGAAGAACAAGAACAAGAGTAGAGCTGCCAAACGAATTACTAATGTGTGTCGTGGAAACAGGGTTATTCACGAATTACTTAGAGAGCGAACTACGAAGCGTGGAAACATCGTGTTACGAAATTTTTATATATAATTCAGCGAGTTTATGAATTTATATGAACTAGCTTGAATAATATGTCCAATTTATTAGATTTCTTGTCAAAATTTTATCGAATTTATCTTTATTTTATACGTAAAACAATATAAAAGGCTGCGCCTTACATCCAGCGTTTGAAAATTTTATTTTTTTAAATTGCAAAAATTCGACAAAATTTGGATTTTTCCAGCTATAACTCAGCTAGTAAATGAAGAAGATTCAATAACATGTCAAACTTATCAGATTTCTTGTCAAAATTTTGTCGAATATTTGCGATTTAGAGAAAGTACATTTTTTAAACCCTAGGAGCGACGCATAAACATCTTTTCGAAATTTTGAAATTTTCGTGGACGTCTTTATTTTGTACGTAGAGCAATGTAAAAGGGTGTCCCTTATAAATTTAGATGTTGATATTTTTAAGGGCCACCCGAATACACATCACTAACAGTGTATACATCCATGTATATACATTCATATACATATGTATGCAAATAAATCACTACATATATACATATGCGGCATAAAATAATTTTATTTGTGAAAATTTTCTAAAAACTAATCACAGCGATGACGTAATTTTATTATCATCAGGAAATTAGTATTTTGTTTTCGTCCCACATGCGAAAGTGCAAAAAGTTTGTGTTTCATTTAAATTATACACTAGAAAAAATTATTTGGTTTAAAACAACTACAAAATGTGTATGTATGTATTTATAATAACTAATTTTTTTTTTAATCTCTCCAACTTCAATATCTTCGCCAGTCGTATTGTTGTTGGCTGTTCTCAGTGCGAGTGTGGGCGCATTTCATATCATCGCTTTGAATCGCCAATACGAATATGAGTATGTCGGTACGGTGGCAGTTGGTGCAAAGGCACCACAAGAAGATGAACATCCGGCTCCGCCAACTTCCGGTTGGATTGTGCGCGGCAAGTTGACGTTACAACGACAAACGGCCAACGTTTTAGCCGCAGCGGTAAGTGAAAGATGAAAAAAAAAAAAACAAATAACTAAAACACAGTTTATGATGTTTATGCAAGCTAATATTTCAATATACATAAATAAGTGCAAAAAATGAGTAAACGTGTACATTGGGACCCGTTTTCGAACGGAATTATAAAATTTATTATATTTTAATACTATTAAGATTAAAGTGAGCTGGGATTATATTTTTCGTCATCGGAATCGCCATCGTCGATCTATCGACGCGAAATTTAATTATCTTTTATTAAAAAAAAAATAAACTTGAAATCGGTTTGGCTTGAAAAAATTAAATACAATTATTGTTTTTAAATAACATCATCTTTTTCGAACGCAAACCAAACGTGGTCTGCGAATTTAACCAGATCCACCCACCAGCTGAATCCGAATCTAAGGTCTGTTTGAATCGTACACCCTTGAAATTTCGAGTAAATACCGAAAAATAAGAATGTTGCAGTTTTTTTGGAATTTTCGCAAATTGCTCGAAATTTTGGGGGTGTGCGAGTCAAGCCCCAGAGACCTCAAATTCAGCGGGTCGAAATACATATCGTTAGCTGGGTCTGGTTAAAAGCACTTACCACTTTTTTTTGGGGGGTTCCGGTGTTATCATTAATTTTCGTATCCGGAAACGTTCGAAAAAGACGTTGTTGAAAACAATAATTGTATTTTTTTTCAAGCTGAACATTTCGTATACATAATATTCTTTTGGGTGGAGATCCAATAAAAATTTAAATATCAATTTGAATTCAAACTTAATCAACTTTTCATCAAACCTTGTAAAAAATGTTGTATAGTCAATTGAGAATCAAGAACTTCTCAAAGATTGGGAAAAAAATGGAAAAGTTATTACTTTGTGCATATTGAGCGTAGTCGGCAGTGGCAGAGCATGCAGATTAGCGTGTCACTATTTTTTAGCTTTCGAACTGCGTCAGGCGCTTTCTTATTTTTGTGGAACCACGAAAAGCACCTGTGAAGTGCAGAGGGAAAGCGCATTGAACAAAAAATTCAATCGGACAAATTTCGTAGAAACAGTCAAAAACGTATGCGTTTCACGACAATTTTCTTCATGCATTAAAAAAATTACTTAGCAAAAAAAAAGTATTTTTCATTATAATACAGTATTATGGCCAGGTAACCTAGACAGTAGTAAATCAAAGGAGATTACAACTGCTGTAGAACTAGACGACACAGTAGATAAGCTGGAAAAAACTCTAGCCATAGCTTTTAAAAAATCCACACAAGTAAGCGTCCTTAAGAAAAAAATCCCCTCCATGGTGGAGGGGGGAGCTTAGAGAGCACAGGTCAAATCTAAGAAAAATCTTTAACGAGTGCTACAGAATAAAACTGTGGCAGCCATACAAAAATGAATTAAGGCAGTACAAAAAATTAGTAAAGAAAGCTAAAGCGGACTCTTGGCAGTCCTATTGCACATCCATAGAGAACTGTAGGGAATCCGCCAGACTAAGCAAAGTTTTATCCAAGGAACACACCAACCCCAACCTTATTAAGGGAGGGGACGGTGGATGGACATGGACAGCGGAGGAATCACTAGAGACCCTCATCAATACACACTTTCCTGGCTGCGATCAGAGGTCAAAAACATGACATCATACAAATCGTCAGCAACTCTCAAAAGAGTTACTCGACTCAACCGTAGACAAGGAAAAAATTAAGTTCGCTTTAAATAAATTATTCCCAAACAAATCCCCGGGCCAAATGCTCATAAACAGAATCATAATTTCAACCATCGGTGCAGTAACGCTATCCCGTTATGCAAATAGAGGCACTCCCCAAAGGGGAGTTCTGTCTCTGCTACTATGGGTGGTGGTATTGAAAGACATTCTACTGGATCTCAACAAAGGTGGAGTGAAAGTAATAGCACATGAAGATGATGTAGGGGTGGCGGTATCAGGTCTCTTCCCCTCAACGATTAGTGAAATCCTAGAGCGAGCTTTGCTCCGGCTAAACATGTGGGCTACAAAAAAAGGACGGGGTGTCAACCCTAGCAAGACGGAACTGATGCTGTTCATCAATAAAACAAAAATTCCACAATTCAAGCTTCCCTCCCTTAACGGAACGTCTCTCACATTGTCCTCCGAGGCTAAATACTTGAGTGTCTTATTAGATATCAAACTGAGCTGGAATACAAATAGAAATATAGACAGGCGGGTTGAGAGAGCCTACAAAAGCCTACATGTAAAAGAATATTCAGTAGGAACTAGGGATGGAAGCCAAAACTTGTCTTCTGGTGGCCAGCACTAGATAAATAATACAACGTCAGGCAACTAGGCAGTATAAAAACAGCAGCTTGTGGAGGTGCTACAGGGGCAATTAAGTCGTGTCCATCTGATGCGCTTAATGTGATCCTGCATCAACTACCCATAGAACTCCATATCCACGAAACTGCTGCGTCTGCGGCAGTCAGACTCAAAGAGTCAGGTTGCTGGAGGGCGCTGCAGCACGGCCATAATGGTATTCTTGTCAAGCTCATCGAATCAGGGAAACAATCAGATTATATACTTCCCAGAACAGATTTCAGGAAAAGCTTTCAGGTGAAGTTTCCTTCAAGACGGGATTGGAGTAGGGGCAGGTTAGTCGAGGAGAATTCCACTGAAATCTATACTGACGGGTGTAAAATGGACTGCGGTGTAGGTGCGGGGGTGTTCTCTGAAACGCTCAATGTCTCTCTATCGTATCTAATTTTGCTAGCATCATCCAAACGGATGTACTGGGCATCGAAAGGACCTGTAAAGCTCTAGAGAGGAACTGCATAGGTGTACGAAAAGCATACATTTTTTCAGATAGCCAAGCGGCACTTCTGGCACTCGCCTCACCAGTACCAAAATCCAAAACAGTCAGAAATTACAAGTATGCGTTAAGCTCGGCGGCCGAGTTAATAGACATCACTCTCATCTGGGTTCCCGGCCATAGAAACATACACGGAAATGAGAGGGCTGACGAGTTGGCTAAGGACGGAGCATCTTTGGATGAATCTGAAGCAGAAACTATAAATTGTCCATTCGGACTCATCAAAAGGGAACTGCATCTGCAATTCACACGTATGGCTGATACACGTTGGAACAACCTTTTACCCTGCAAAACTGCGAGGAACATATGGCCGCACTATGACAAGCCAAAGACATAAGAACTTCTCAAGAGGTCGTGGAAAGATATAGTCAAATTAGTAGCCACGATAACGGGACATTGGCCCATTGGTGAACATGCAGCTAAAATGGGCGTCCCGTATAACCCTCGGTGCCGTAGCTGTAATCTTGTGGGGAAGTAAGTAAAGAAGCGGTCCTTCACTATCTTTGTGGGTGCTCAGCATTGGCACAAATAAGGCAGATCACATTCGGAAGTTTTTCCATCCAAAATCCATGTATGAGCGCCTAGTATTGGGAAATTATTATATCGGTTTTTATAAATAAAAACTTGTCATAAAGGATGGCCGCGCGAAAATTGGCACATATGTACAAATGTATTTTAAAAAAGGACATCATATGTACATATGTGGATAAACCATGGACTGAATGATGAAGCGTTCGATGGTTGTTATGCATAATTTTTTCATGTTCTGCAAATTTTCCAATCTTTTAAAGAAAAAAATTATAGATACTAATTGTATTGGAACATTTCGCACTCAGTTTTTAAACAACCAAAACTATAAAGTTGTATAAGATGTTCATGTGAATCTAGCTGTGTTTCATGCGTCCAAGCATAAGCATCCATTCGTAGGACATGGCTTAGCCCGTGTGACCGCTGTGCATTGATGCCCGACACGTATGTCAATATCGTTTTAAAGTGCATACACCTCATTATTCCATCATCTAAACTTACATATTTTTCTTAGTGTATAAAATTTGATTGGAACTGAATTAGAGAATGCACACATAGCAAAGTGTTCATACATCTGGAAGCTAGTTCAGTATTGAATTATGTTTACTTCAGCATTCTCAGTTTTTCTATTCAGGGTTTTACCACCTTGCTGTGTGAAATCAATTTTTTTTTTTTTATGATTGTAGATTGAAAAAAAAAAATAGAAACCACACCACCAAACAACAGGGAAAACAGGGAACATGATTAAAATTTTAAATGATTTCACAGTTTCACAGCTCTGGTATATACTTATGTGTGCATAAGGAATACTGTGTAAAAATCTTACCCGCCAATATTTAATCACTTTTAAATAATATAGCTTTTAAGTTAAGGCGTGCGGCTAAACTTGTTGGATGATTACTTATGGTGCTACGAGGCGTATACGTTACTTACGCAAGTACGGGTATATGAAATTGAGTGGTTATTTTTACTTTTTTTTAGTATATCTTTTTTGAGTTTTCATTTAAATACAATTTCGCAATGGAATCTTGTTCTTTATACAAAACTGAAGATAATGCATTTTCTAAGATATGTGAACCACCATTTTCGACCAAAGACACATTTTTTTTTTTTTTAATTTAACAACTCGTTAAATTTTCTCATATGCATGTACTCGTATGTGAACGAATTTGAATGCAGTAGAAAGCATAAATTTCAACATTTGTGGTCTTAGATTCAAAGTTCTTTTAATTTGAATTCGATTTTTAACTTAATTAGTTTTATTTTTGTTTCGGCAATGGCCTCTTTCACTCCTTAACCCCTTTTTTTGTGCTTAATAAGTTATTTTCAATTCAATGAAAAGCAAAAAGACAACATAAAATGAAAAGCAAATTAATCAGCAAAAAAGCGAGAAATAAAATATAATAACAAAAACAACAATTTCTTAAATGACTATTGTGTTTGCTTGGTAGTTTGCTGCTTAGTTGTTATTGTTGCTTATGAGGATGTCAAACAATTTAACCTTTCCAGTGTGCGATGTTGAACTACAGCGAACTGTGATATTCACCAACACTTGTCGCCCGATTGCCTGTTGTGGGTCCCACCGCCATGAACGTGTAATCACTTTTAATTGCTTTGACTAACAACGAACACAGACAGTGCAAAAAAAACAGCAACAAC